TTCCCCTATTTGGATCGATGCCTTATATATTAATACTAATCGCTAATGATTACTATATCGTTCATGCAATACTAATCACTTCTGATTACTATATTGTTCATGCAATCACTATTTTAGACTTTTTAATTATATCGTGATTACCTGATATATTATGCATTAATTAGATTACCGATCAATATGTACCCGATCATGATCGGGTGATCTGTGATCGTACCTAACCCTAGCAATATTGATACAAGGGGTGTTGGTCATCAGCACGACAGAAGCTAGATCCCCAGATACTTCGTCCTCAAAGTTACAACAACTTATATCCATCCTACCAAGTTTCCTCACTTCAAAACAACTACCAAATACTGCACTAACTAGTCCATCATTCCTAATCACATGGTCTAAATATAGTCATTTGAAAAATCTCTTCCTTCCAACATTTTCAAATACTATCGAACTATGATTAAACCTTTGAATTTCAGTTTTACCAACACACAACGCGTCCAGCTTTTTTGGATCATTACCACATTTATCAAAACTTTCATTACTTTCAAATCTCAAGGTATTCATCACCTTAATTTTCGCATTGTCGATTCGCAATACACCTTCAACTAAACTTGTATACACCTTATTCATAACTTTTCTACTTGTTTTCACCCTTCGGCAGCTTACACCATTTAACCTTACAAAATTATTCACATTACGTTTAGCCTTTAACATGCTATTCAATGTTCGTATGGTGCTTGGGTGACTCATAGATGCTCCTCCTAATCTAATGCATCGTTTATTCTTATCATCACGCTTGTGATCACGTGTTTCATTACCACAACTCATTTTTCCAAGGCTTTAACATTGAACAAATGCCTTTTGTTCATCTTTTTCATTTTTGATTTTACTTTTGTGGTAATCTTTTCCAGATTTATTCGTTCTGCCATCTGCAGCTTCACCTCCATTATACTTAAACTCAGCCTTATTATCCTCCAATACGTTTACTACACACCTTACGTTCACAACATTATTGTCTTTTCCATCACTACATTTCTCTTTCTCTTCACCAGCACTATCATTCTCCGTCAATTTATTTTTAATACACCTAACATCTACAAATTTGGTTTCTTTTTGATCATTATTCTTCATTATACTACCTTTATTTATATATTCATCTATGCTTTAATCAAAGATCACGAATGTTGCTTTTTCTAAGCCAGATCGGATCATACAGTGACATTTTCTATCCTTCCATTCAAAACTACACCTTGTTTTCATGACCCACGGCATTGCAAGAATGACATCAGAAGCTAATTCATGCTTAACAAATTCTTGGACTACTTTAACACCATCAACATCGATTTCAATACATCATCTTCATTCAAACGTTTCCAGGTAAGCCCTTTGCTTCTCACGTATCTCATGCTCATTAAATTCAAAGATGAACTGAGCCTAATTGATGCTTTTGCAAACTTTTCATTTACCTTTATCCTTTTTACCACTTCATCATTGTTCCTATTTTTACTATCAACTTTTCGCTCCATTTTAATTTTTCTACTACATTTCAATCCTTCATGCTTCTTTCTTCCAACTTTTACATGGCGAACGTCCATCACATTATAATTTAAACTTCGATCATGACTTTGATCTTTTATAGATGGACACAAATAAGCCAAGTGCCCTTTTCGCCAACACACATAACATAAACGCGACCCACGTTTTCGCTGTTTCCTTTGAAACATATTCAGGTTCTGTACAACTTTTTTAACCACTGTTTTTACAATATCTTTTACCAACGTTACTAAGTAATCTTCATGTTTCATCTTCAACTCCAATTCTGTTAAACCGCGTTTAACTTGCCACTGAGGTACCTTAAATTTACCAATTACGATTGGTATACCCTTCTTGATCTTGCACTTAACAAGTATAACAAACTTCAACAAGTTTCTGCGAGTAGAACCTTCATCTGCCCAGGTCCTTTTTGTCATGGAGTTACACAAACTACCGTGTACTTCTTGATATTTACTACCTGTCTTTACTCGCTTGGCTAATATATATGATGACTGGAGTATCGTGCCAGATACTACCACCGATAATGTACTCACACAGATAACAGTTTATTCACTAAGAATAATTCAAAGAGCCAAAGTTAGGCATTTCTCCTATTTGGATCGATGCTTATATATTAATACTAATCGCTAATGATTACTATATCGTTCATTCAATACTAATCGCTTCTGATTACTATATTGTTCATGCAATCACTATTTTAGACTTTTTAATTACATCGTGATAACCCGATATATTATGCATTAATTAGATCACTGATAAACACGTACCCGAGCATGATTGGGTAACCTGTGATCGTACCTAACCCTAGCAATACTGATACAAGGGGTGTTGGTCATCAGCACGACAATTATGCATAATACTAACTAATTTTATCATAATATCACATAAGCTTACAATATATATATATTAATAATAGATCGCCCTAATATATCATTTAGTTAAAAAGACTTTTTCATAAACAAATAGATCTGTTTGTGAGTAAAAATAAACAGATGATCAAATGTTACTACGAAGATCACATAGATAAAGAAGGAACACCACCTCCAGATTACCCTAGTTGGGCACTATCACCCGAAGCATTAGAACAGTATAATATCACTGCACTGGAATTTGATGCTGACTTTTCAAGTGGGGAAGAAGACCCAAGAAAAAAGAAAAAAGCGAAAACAAGAAAAGAAGGTGAAGAAACAAGTAAAAGAAAGGATAGAGATGATATAGGTGACAAAGATAGAGTCGTACTATATAAACGAAGGAAAACTGATAAAGAATAAAGTCCCCCCACTTCCAAGTTCACAAGATGTATTGAAGAGGTCCAAAACTATAACCGCTGCAACCACAGCAACCCCCAAATCAGCAACCTCCAAAGCAGCAACCCCAGCAAACTCCAGAGCAGAAACCCCAGCAACTTCCTGAACAGCAACCCCAGTAACTTTCAGAGCAGCAACCCTAGCAACCTTCAGAGCAGCAACTCCAGCAACCTTCAGAGCAGCAACCCAAGCAACCTTCAAAGTAGCAACCCCAGCAACCACAACACCTACAATAACACTAGCCACAGGAGAACTAATCGATTAACAACACCAGTGTCTAGTCTAAGAAGGCCAGAAACACCTATAGGTGAAGTTGTCAAAACAAAAAGTCAATCACAAGTTTATAGTGTTGAAGATATGGAAGGTGAAACTGAAGTTGAGAGTGAAGTTGAGAGTGAAAGTGTAGGTGAAGGTGAAGGTAAATATGAAGGTAAAAGTGAAGGTGAAAGTGAGGTTGCAGGTAAAAAAAGGAACAAGGGAAAAGAAAAAGGGGAAGGGAAAAGTGTAAAGCGAAAAAAAGGTTGAGAAGAAGGCGATAACTACAATATTGTTATATTTTTATTGTTTGTTTAAAATTAGAATATAAGCTTATATCATAAATATTTTTATAGATAAATGTTAGATTTAATATAAAATCAGAATAAAAATATAAATATCTGCTTACGATATATTAAAACAGTAATTATTAAATTGATACAAAATGATAAAGCTAATATTATATTAATTGGTAAAAATAGTTACAATATCAATAATAATCAGAGAATATCATAATAAATCTTCAAAATATTATGATAATAATGGTAAGTTATCATCCTAAAAAAAAGCAGATATGAAGAAAATAAATATATCATTAATATCAAAAAATAAACTACATTATCTGTATAATATCATCTAATTGATTTTATTTAAAAACCAAAAATATCAGTAAATATCGTTACAATATCAATAATAATCAGAGAATATCATAATAAATCTTCAAAATATTATGATAATAATGGTAAAATATCATTCTAAAAAAAAGCAGATATGAAGAAAATAAATATATCATT